AAAAAAAAAAAAAAAAAAAAAGTTTACATACAGCAAGTCCCAGTCAGAAAAAGACTGAAAGGATGGTCTGCCCTTTTGAAGAGGCCCTGGGCTCCTTCCCAGCAGGTGACAGGATCCATGCACACATGGAGATGATGTTCGGGGGCAGTGTTGTCTCATGTTCCTTAGTCAAGATGTGGTCTGGGCACAGAAAATAAGAGTCAGAAGCAGAAAGGTGGCTGGAAGTAGGAGGTATGGATAGCCCAGAGCAGGGCCTGAGGATCATAGTTGACATGAGCTCGGCCCCAGGAGGTTGATAAACATAGTCCCAAGACCCACATGATTTTCCTGCTTGAAAATAGCAAGCATTTTGCCATCCTTTCTCAAGGGAGAAACTCTTCCCTCTTCTATTTCAGGCTGATCCTGAATCGTTAATGCCAGTCCTCCCAACTGTGCTGATTGTTTCCCAGATAGGCCAAGGCTGTGTCACCCAACTGACCACCAACCACAACTAGCTCTGTTCTCTTCTTGTTCCTGAAATCCAAGCACAGGTGGTGAGGTGTTGGAGGCAACCCCTTACCAAAAGCTACGAAGAAAGGGGAGGGAAGGGCAAGGGATAGAGGAAGTTACAGTGGTTCTCAGTTTAAAGCCTCCAGGGTCCTCCTTCCTGTGAAGCCCAACAGTCTCTAGTCAGATTTCCTGTCCCCTTGGCCCCATCAGGACTGGGGGCTGCCTCGGCATGGCTGTTGGGTGGAGGTCACCCCTTGACTGGGACAGCATCACTCTAGGTCTTTCCTTCACCCCTCCTTAGGGTATTGGAGCCACTCTGTTCCCCATGATCCCTTAGACTGTAATGGTGAACCTTTTAGAGTTTTCAAAGATAAAAACAGCCCACTGCAGCTGCAGCATATGTGCCTTAGGTTTGCCACCACTGCCTTAGGCTGTTGATTCCTAGCTCTTGCTTGTTTTAAAGGAATCCAGGATACTCTGTTTAACCAGAATTTTGGAGGGCTTCGTCTTGTGTGCACGTAGACATGTGACGGGGAGCTGAGAAACCCTGGGTGACCGTGCTAAATTCAAGAGTTGGAAACAACTCTGCTCCCCTCGTTTCAAGGGCTCCTCTCTGTGTATCCCCAATCCCTTGGGGGAGGAGAATTCAGTCTCTGGGGACAGACCTCCCTCTGCTCTGCCCAGCCCCACCCCTCAGCTTAGAGGACATAAAAACGTGGATTCTGTGAGGGGAGTTGCCACTGTCAGGTGAGCTGTGGAACTGAGGTCCTGGGGCTGCTGCTAGTAACAAAAGCGGGCAAGTGCATGGGGGCCTATAGATCCCCTCCTCGAGGAGGCCTGGTTCTGCTCATAGGCCAGGCCCATTGAGGTGGGCTGGGTATGGAAGAGGGAGTAAGGGACTTGTGAAGACAGAAACGATGGAGGTCCCTTCTCCCAAACGCTCAGGGTACTTATGGGGCAGGGGTCTCACTGCAGAGATGAAGCTGCTCCTGGCCCTCACAGGGCTCCTGGCTACTCTGGTCATGCCTCAGCCCTCTGACAGTGCCCGTCCAGGTAACAGTTCAGAAAGGAGGGGAAAGGGGGTGTGCTGGAGGTGGTCCTGAATCCCAGGGACTCCTCAGTGCAGACTCCTGGGGATGGGACCTGACCTTGTGGTTCTTGCTCTGCCCAGCTGTCCCAGATGAGGTGGAGACCTCAGTGGTGCTGACCTGCATGGAGGAGGCCAAGCAGCTAGTGGACAAGGCCTACAAGGAGCGCAGGGAAAGGTGGGGATGCAGGCCCTGCCTTTCGGAGATTGTTTCTGGCCTTTCAGAGAAGAGCAGGCAGCAGGAAGTTTGCAAAGTGGGGGCTTGGTGGAGGTGGTTTGTAACTCTGGGTGTGAGAACATCTTCAAAGCCACCCTGCCTAGGGCCTTGCTTCTGTCTGGACACCCTGGTCCATATCATTTTTAAAAAAGGAAACCTTCTCATGTTGTATGTCCACTGCTAGACTGGGGAGCACCCAGCTGAGTGTCTCTGCACCCCTTCCCTGGTTTTCTTTTTCCATGCAGCATCAAGCAGCGGCTTCGCAGTGGCTTGGCGAGCCCCATGGAACTCCTGTCCTACTTCAAGCAGCCAGTGGCAGCCACCAGGACAGCAGTGAGGGCTGCCGACTATCTGCATGTGGCCCTAGACCTGCTGAAGAGAAAGCTGCAGCCTCTGCGCCCAGGGCCATTCAATGTCACTGGTAGCAGAGACCCTCCACCCTTCCCAGGCCCCTGCTGCACCAGGGACCCCCCTAGTGACTCCCACAGTGGCCCATTGATCCTGGTCCCCTTCTAAGGAGTCTCAGAGCCATCCTAGCATCCTTCCGCTTCTCAGCCTGTGCCCCCAGCTCCAGGGTGGATGGGGATCCAGCCTCAGGTTTCCTAGAGTAGGAAATGGGAGGTTAACTCTTCAGTCCCCCTTTCCCTGGCAGATGTGCTGACACCAGCCCAGCTGACTCTGCTGTCCAAGTCGAGTGGCTGCGCCTACCAGGACGCGGGGGTGAGCTGCCCAGAACAGGACAAGTATCGCACCATTACCGGCCACTGCAACAACAGGTGGGGCTCTGGCGGGGCTCAGGAGGTGTCCCGGTCCCGGTCACCCCCGTCCCACCCCTGCCTTTTCACAGTGTTCTGTCCCCCGCCCCCACAGACGCAGCCCCACACTGGGAGCCTCCAACCGCGCCTTTGCTCGCTGGCTGCCTGCAGAGTATGAGGACGGCGTGTCAGTGCCCTTCGGCTGGACGCCCGGGGTCAAGCGCAACGGCTTCGCAGTGCCACTGGTGAGCTCCAGTGGGCAGAGGGTGGCGCCGACCCATGTGGTACAGGGATGAGGCGCCCGCTGACACCGGGTGTCCCACAGGCTCGCGAGGTCTCCAACGCCATTGTGCGCTTCCCCACCGAGCGGCTGACACCCGACCAGGAGCGCTCGCTCATGTTCATGCAGTGGGGCCAGTTCATCGACCACGACCTGGACTTCACCCCTGAACCCGCCGCCCGGGCCTCCTTCCTCACTGGTCTCAACTGTGAGATCAGCTGCCTGCAGCAGCCTCCCTGCTTCCCTCTCAAGGTCCGCCCTCTTCCCCTGCTCCTGGCTTCTTCTGGGCCCAGGTTTCCCGAGGAAGGCTCTTTGCCTCTTGTGGGTCCAGAGTCAGTGCCTATCCTCCTCCATCGGGCCATTTGTCAGCCGTGACATCCATCTGTTCATTGCTTCTCATGGCCTGGTGGAGATGACCCCACTGGAATTACTGCTCTTTGTGACTTCGGGGATGAGGACCTTCCCAGTGTCCCTCACATTTTCCAGTGTGGCTGTCACGTGCCCAGTCGGACAGAGGGGCCTTCCCCACTGGGCACTCCACAGAGCAGACTCCAGACTCGGGTGGGAGCAGGGCCCAAGGTGGGCAGCTTGGGGCACATGCTGAAGAGGGAGGGAAGAGGAAATAAAGGAGAGACGGAGTCTGAGAGGGAGCGAAGGGAGGGACAGGAGAAGGGCAGGGATAGGTGAGAAACAGGAAGGGACAAAGGAGAGATGGAAATGGGGAGAGGAAAGGAAAAGGAAGAGCAGGCAGAGTGACAGGTTAGGGACCGAATCCAGAGTCGTGGAGCAGGAGGAGAGATTAAGTGAGGAAGGCGTGGAGCCCTGGCAGGGCCCACTCCCACGGGTCCCCGCATTCCAGCGCAGGGTCCTGCCCGTCACACCTGAAACTCAGAGGCGCTGTGCTTGTGGGTTCCTGGACAGCAATCCTGTTGGGCCCTTGTGAGGCCTCCCTACGGGCTGAGGGGGCCAGAGGTCCCAAGGCAGCAGCAAGCCTCCTCTGCTCACTGTCCCTGCCCCAGAGAGTCAGTCTAGCCTCTCTCTGTGCCACAGATCCCACCTAATGACCCCCGCATCAGGAACCAGAACGACTGCATCCCCTTCTTCCGCTCCTGCCCTGCCTGTACCAGTAGCAACATCACCATCCGCAACCAGATCAATGCTCTCACCTCCTTCGTGGACGCCAGCATGGTGTACGGCAGCGAGGACCCCCTGGCCAGGAACCTGCGCAACCTGACCAACCAGCTGGGGCTGCTGGCTGTCAACACCCGCTTCCAGGACAACGGCCGAGCCCTGATGCCCTTCGACAGACTGCATGACGACCCCTGTCTTCTCACCAACCGTTCCGCACTCATCCCCTGCTTCCTGGCAGGTCAGCTCGGGGGCTAAGAGGTGGCATGGGTGGCATAGGAGATATTTCTTGTGGGAGCCACAGTGAATCTGTTTGCAAGCAGTGTGTGGGTTGGCTATGAGAGATGCTGTCCTCACCAACTTCTTGATAGTAACCTAGTTGCCATGGTGACAAGTTGAATGGAGACAGAAAGGAAAGCAAAAGGAAAAAAACAAAACAAAAACCCTCCATCTAAAGTGGAGACCCAGGGCTAGACTCTGTCCTTTGCAGTCTCTCTTATCCCTTTTGGACTCCAGAAGAAAGGAGAGTTGAGTCAGGGGCAGGAAACTAGAGGACAGAGAGCAATGTGGGATCTTCACCCTCTGGAACCCCACTATCTAATTTGGAATCAGTAGCTAATGTGGCTGTTTTGATTTTACTTGTTTTTAAATTAAATAAAAACTTCAGCTTCTCAGTTGCACTAATCACATTTCAAGTGCTCAGTAGCCTTCTGAGCTAGTGGTTCCCCTACAGGGCAGTGCAGGATTAGATCGATTTCATCATCTCAGGAAGCTTTAGTGGACAGAGCTGCTGCAGAATGCCACCTCCTGGTCACCTGGCTGCCTGCCATAAGAGCGTGGGATTTCGAATGTAAACACCTGCAGTTCAGGGTAAGCTTGGGGCAGCAATGTAGGCACACCCAGAAATTTTCCAGTGTGTTTTAGTGTAAACCCAATGATAGGCCAAGGCAAAAGCCCTTGCTCTCCCTCACCCTTCTCCTGGTGGCTCCTGGTGATCTTTCCCTAGGCCCCTAAGAGGAGAACCAAGGTCAGTGCCAGTGTGACCTTTCTGGGGAAGGAGTCCACCCTCTTCAGGGCTACTTTAGGGCAGCACTCCTCAGCCAGACACAGCTGCCTCCGGTTGGCGATGACCAGCCAGCTGTATGTCCCCACCCTGGGTCATCGTGACCTCCAGTTGCTCATGTGATGAAGAAGCTGCTCTCAGAGGATGTTTTTTTCCTCCCAAATTGTCTTTCTAGAGTTGGCACAGGCTGAACCCAGGGTCCCGCTGAAGTGGCCCTGACTCTGGCCCTCTGGTCCCTTTCTAGAAAGGTTTGGGGGAGACTAGAGAAGTGGGGGATTCGTGTTCAGTGTTCCTGAACGGAGTCCTAGGTGTGGGTTCCTCATATCCTGTACTCCCCCCACACCCCACCCCAGCCCTGCTGCACCACAGGCTGCACCATCAGCTAGTAGTAAGGACTGGGCTGGCCATGCTATTCAAATGGTAGTGACCTTCTGGGGTCCTGTGTTGAGAAGAACTCTGTGTTGCATCCAATTTTAGCAGGAAAGAGTGCTGTGATCATTAGGTGTGTTTGACAGGGGCATGAAAATAGGTGGCGCCAACACGCATGCTACTTTGGGGCGCTTCCTGAATCAAGAAAATCGGCAAAGTAGGTAGTGTTTGTGGATCTAAGGCCTGGTGCTAAGCCCTATGGGCTGATATTTGTATCAGAAAGGATGGTTATGTACAAAAAGGAAGAAGGCTTAGATCTTGTCCTCAAGGACCCCTCAGTTTCAGCTACAGGAAGTTAACAGGTCATGGGCTGGATCTGATGCCTACTGGGTAAGTCCTCTGGCCAGAAATGTCCTTGAGCAGGACAAGGAGCCGGCATAGAAGACAGGGCCTCAGGGGAGGCCTCCTGGAAAAGTGTAAACTGAGCCTGGTGTGCAAAGAGGGGTGGAGAGCAGGACGAGTAGGAGATGTTTCAGGCCTTGGAGAGACAGACAGTTTCAGCGGAGCAAACCTTTTCTGGGCTGGAAGTCTTAGGAATGACAGTGGCTTTTGTTCCCTGCAGGGGACACCCGCTCCAGTGAGATGCCTGAGCTCACCTCCATGCACACCCTTTTTGTTCGAGAGCACAACCGGCTGGCCACGCAGCTCAAGAGCCTGAACCCCAGATGGAATGGAGAGAGGCTCTACCAGGAGGCCCGGAAGATCGTGGGGGCCATGGTCCAGGTAGGCTGCTCCGAGTATCAGGCAGACTCAGGATCCAGATGTGCCCCTGCAACATCCCAGCTGTGTGGCCGTAGGCAAGTTTCTTATCCTCCTGAACCTTGGCTTCTTCACCCTTGGTGCCGAAAGGATTAAATGACCTACATGAAAACACTGGACAGATGTGAAGTGCTTGACAAGGCTGCTCCCTTCTCTGCCCTTCGTCCCAGCTTTGCTTCTTTCCTGTGGGTCCAGGCCTGGTGTTGGGAGGGTACACACACCCGGGTTCTGGAGAGGGAAAGAGCTGTAGGTGCGGAAGGTGAGTTTTTATTTTCCACTGAGATACAAGTGGGGCTCATTTCAGCTTTGGAGGAAATTTGAGAGTCTAGGCTCTAGGGTGAGACTATTGTACATCTTCCATTTTCACTGGGAGAAATCATACCGGAGCACCCATTGTTCCTTCCTGCCTCCCCTCCTTCCACAAAACTGTACTGAACCCTACTGTGGGCCAGGCATATGCTGGGCAGTGAGTGTAATTTCAATACTCCCAATTCCCTGGCTCTCAAGGAGTTGATATGATAGTAGATATGTAACATTAATAACTCAAGGGAAGGCGGTTAATGCAATGACTGTAATAAAGAGCTTTATTATTTAATTCTCTAAGGCAGAGGGTAATATAACTATCCTTATTTTACATTTGAGGCTCAGAGATGTGAATCAGTGACCCAAAGTTACAGCCAGCAAGTGGTAGAACTCTGTTTATGCCCTTTAGTGCTGTTGCATTGTTTAGAGCTGGTAGTTGGGGAGGCAGGCCCCTGACCATGGATGGATGGAGTAGATAGAGACCCCAGAGAGTGAGCTGAGAGCCCATTCCCAGTGACTTTCTTTAGATCATCACATACCGAGACTACCTACCCCTGGTGCTGGGGCCGGCAGCCATGAGGAAGTACCTGCCCATGTACCGTGGCTACAACGAGTCGGTGGACCCACGTATTGCCAATGTCTTCACCAATGCCTTCCGCTATGGCCACACCCTCATCCAACCCTTCATGTTCCGCCTGGACAGTCGGTACCAGCCCATGGGGCCCAACCCCCGAGTCCCGCTCAGCAAGGTCTTTTTTGCCTCTTGGAGAGTGGTGCTGGAAGGTAAGTGGAATCTGGGCCAGGAGAGAGTGGGCTGGCAGCTAGGGGGATGCAGGCAGCTAGGGTGAGGAAAGATCTTCCTTGTTTTCTTCCTCAGAGACCCAGTCTGACTGTCCAGTCTCAGTGTTCCTGACTCTGCTTTCACATCTGAGTACGAACAGTAGGGGTGGAGAGGGCTCTCAGAGGGAGCTGAGTCCTTCCTGTGTGTTGTGACTCTGTGACCTGCGAGGCCAGGGGCTGGAAGAATCCTAGCCTTGCATGTCTGAGTGGCATTGAGCCCTGTAGGTCCGAGGGTCATGTAGTGCCTTCTGAGGACCTGCTCACTGTGGTCACCCTGACACCAAGCCCTCTTCTCCAAGCCCTGGTGACCCCATGGGGACTTCCCCGTATTCCCATTAGAGTTCTGGTACCAAGTGGGACCTTCCCTTCAACTTTGTTTCTTTTGCCTCCCAGGTGGCATTGACCCCATCCTCCGAGGCCTCATGGCCACCCCTGCCAAGCTGAATCGTCAGAACCAAATTGTGGTGGATGAGATCCGGGAGCGATTGTTTGAGCAGGTCATGAGGATTGGGCTGGACCTGCCGGCTCTGAACATGCAGCGCAGCAGGGACCACGGCCTCCCAGGTGAGGAGCTGCAGGAGCCTCCCTCCCCCATCTCCTAGGTAGCTCATGGCTTCCCTTCCACTTGAGGGCCTTACACTTTCCAGTACCCCCAGCAGCTCAGGACTTCCCCCACCCCAACACCTTGACTTCTTCATGTCTGGTTCTTATCCGGCCTGTAAAATTCTTCCCAGGATGGACAGATTATAAATGACCAAGACTGTCCTCCACTCCCAGGGAGGGCTTTATGAGTAAGGGTGGGCCTGGCCCCCAACACTTTGCTTTCCCTAAGCTATCTAAGGCCAGGCCCCTGCCTTCCCCTGGTCCCTCTGGTGAACTTCCAGCTTCTCTAGGGCTGCTTTGCCCACTGTGACTCTCTGAGCTACAACAACACTCAAGTAACAGTAATGCAGTCTGAGAGGCTCTGTCCACCATGGTTTCATTCTGACCCACGGTTCATGGACTCTGAGGGGAAGAGACTATCACCTCCACTTGACTGATGAGCGAATAGGCTGGCAGACATTCGGAACCTGGCTAGGACCCAGCTCAACCTAACACTACAACTTGAGCCTGTGTCATAGAGTAGCCCCTGTGTGTGGCCGAGCCTTTCAGACACTACCCTCTTGGGTCAGACAGACACACTGGGTTGCCCCAGAAGACAGTGAGATGCTCCTATTTTTGGACATGGTGAGAGTTGTAGCAATTAGGGGTTTACCTTAGTGTGTGAGGGCAAGGGAAGGGCAGTGAAGGTCCAAGGAGGCCCTGCTGTCCCCCTAGGTCTGAGGCAAGGGTTCAGGTTTCCTCTGTCTATGGCTTTGGCTCCTAGTGCCCTGCCCACCTTGTAGCAGCAGGGGGACCTGGCCAAGGCCACTTGTCCCCTTCCTTCTGCAGGGTACAATGCCTGGAGGCGTTTCTGTGGGCTCCCACAGCCTAGCACGGTGGGAGAGCTGGGCACAGTGCTGAAGAACCAAGACCTGGCACGGAAGCTGGTGCAGCAGTACAGCACACCCAACAACATTGACATCTGGATGGGTGGTGTGGCTGAGCCCCTGGAGCCCAACGGCCGCGTGGGCAAGCTCCTCGCCTGCCTCATCGGCACACAGTTCAGGAAGCTCCGGGATGGTGACCGGTGAGGAGGGCAGGCCTACTGGGTAGCCGTGAACCATCTCAGAGCTTATGGGGGCCTTGATTTCCTCAGTGATTTTCCAGCATGTTCCAGGGAAGCTTCAGGTCACCCCTGTTGTGCCCTGAACCTGTGAGGGTGCAGCACGGAGGGCATTGGAGCCCTGGCTCTGAAGGACAGAAAACAGAAGAAATCTCACTTTCCTTTCTCTGCTTTTATGTGAACAACTGTAAAAGTGTCAGTCCTCAATGAACAGTCCCAATTTAGCTTTCCCATGACCTCCCTCTGTGTCATTTCACTGTGGGTCTGACATCCACATGTCTAGTTCTTACCTAGCTTTTATTGTCCCTTTGGTAATATTATGAAACCACATTCGGGATTCTCCCCAACTCCTGTGGATGCAGCCCTGGGCACAGGGCTTCAGGACTGAGCATGGACCTGGCTCCCTCTAGAATGGGTGCCTGGAGGTCACTGGGCTGGAGCAGCAGAGGCAACCAGGCAGCTGTGCTTATTCTGTGCTCTGGGTGGGGCCCCCCCAGTGGCCTGAAGTGCTCCTATGTCACAGGGCAGAGGCTTCTATACTCCTCTTACACTCAGGGGACAGCTCAAGCCAGGTGATTCCCACTGGCCCAGGATCTGCCAGCAAAGTGACCCCCAGGCACAATGTTCACAATGCCCCTTGCAGGTTTTGGTGGGAGAGCAATGGTGTGTTCAGCTCTCAGCAGCGGCAGGCCCTGGCCAGGATCTCCTTGCCCCGAATCATCTGTGACAACACAGGCATCACCACAGTATCCAGGAACAACATCTTCATGTCCAACTCCTTCCCCCGGAATTTTGTCAACTGCAGCTCTCTCCCAGCATTGAATCTGGCTTCCTGGAGGGAGTCATAGAGGCTGGGTGAGGGCACAAGGCCGTGAGGGTACACCTGGGCTGGGCACTTGGCACTGAAGGGAACTCCCTTCCCTGTTGAGACTGTCCCTGTTCAGGGTGCTAGTTGGGAAAATGGCTGGGTATTCAGTGTGTGTGTGTGTGTGTGCATTCATACGCACATGCGCGTTTATATGTATTTACACACATGCGTGTGTGCCTGGTATATAAATTGGCATTTCACGTGTGTGTCGTCTGTGAGCATGGGCAGTGTTTTCTGTGCTGTGTGTGTCATTCATGTGTGTTGCTGCTCACGAGGCTGTGGAGTGTATCAAAGGCAGCAGAGCAGATTGGTAAGGAGCACAGCTAAGCTTTACATCCTGGCTCTGCAGCTGACTAGCTGCGTGACCTTGGACAAACTACTTAATTCTCCCTAATCTGAGTTTTCTTCCTTGTAAAAAGTGGCTCTGGCTCCTTGGAGGGCCCATTTGCACCCTCTAGTTCTTCATTCATCGGGCACCTACTGCATGCCAGGCACTGTGCCAGGCATGGGAAACGCAGAGAGGCAGGACAGACACAGTCTGCGCCTCGAGGAGCCTACACAGAGACTGTGTCCTGGTTAGCCGAGGGGAACCAGTGGCCCCTGGAGCAAGGAGCCTTCAGCAGTTGGGCCATGTGGCTGATTCTGGGCCTGGATGGCTGGGCTCAGCCACAGATCTCTTTTTTGTTTGTTTTGTTTTGGTACCAGGGATCAAACTTGGGTCCTTGTGCTTGCGAGGCTGGCATCAGAACCACTGAGCTAAATCCCTCCAGCCACAGATCTCTTTTGTCTTACTCTGTTCTCTGTTCACAGGGGCCTGCCTGGAGAGGAGTGAGGGGCATCAGTCCTTCTATACCATTTGTTTGTACCTACCTGACATTCACATAATAAAGCACTGAGGATGGGGATTTCCCTCTGTCTGTCTGTGAAGGGGCTGGGCCCTGACCTTGACCCGGTGTGGTTTGTGTCTTAGGCCCCTGTGATCCTGAACCAGGGTGAGGGCATCCTTTGTCCACACAGGGAGGACAATTGGTTCTTAGAAGCATAGGACAAAAGCCACACACTGAGCAGAACCTTGTCCCTCACCTCCTACCTCTGCCACCTTGCAGAACAGGGATGTGGTCACTAAGGCCTAATGTTTGTTCATTCTGAGGCAAAGATTTGCTTCATGTGTATTCTGTCAGGTGCTGGGGAAGCAGAGGGGGAAAATGCTATCCCTGGGGAAGAGAAAGAGCCAAGGTCTGGTGGGAAGGGCTGCCCCAGATGACAGGGACCTCTGGCTCCTGTATCCCCACAGTCTGGCACAGTGGTGGTTTGGAGGCTCCAAGTTTCAAGTGGTCAGGCCCCAAGTGTAGGGAAACAGGTGGTTGAGCTCAGAGGCCAGTGCATGTTTGTAGCAGTCTTGCCTGGCTGTCACCCCAGTAGCCAGCTGGTAGACGCCCCCCACCCTCCCTCCCATGTTTCTGCATAAGGGGAAGGAGCACCGAAGCTGGGAGCCACATGGTGTGTACTCAGGGTCCCTGGGGAAATCCAGGCCACCACCAAGGCACACAGCAGGACAAACACCCTTGTCCTCACTTCGCTGATGAGGAGGGGGCTCAGGGAGGGGAAAGGCTGCATCAGAGGTTGAGAAGAAGTAGGTACCAGAGGCAGCCTGGTCTTCTGCCTTGCGCTCTTCCCCTGAGATAGCTAAGTGTCTCCTACTCCCACCAGTCAGTCAGGGAATCTGGGCTGGCCTTACCCAGAGGGTCACCTGAAAAGAAGAATGTAGGATATTGGTGAGCAGCCCAAAGAATATTCCTGAGCTGCTCCTTTGGAGGTCTGACAGGCCCCAAGGACTGCCCTGGAAGAAGAGGGTGTTTCCCAGCGGGCTGGAAGAGAAATAAATTGCGGTAGGAGGGGAATCCAGGCCCCTGTCTGGTCCCTAGGTGGCCCTACCTGCTCTTTCCTGCTACCCCCTTGCTTCCTGTCACCAGGAGCCCTTCCCTCCTCCCCCCTTCCTCAGCCCCTCACTCTTGGGTTCTTGGAACTCCCACCCAACCACTCCCTCTCCTCCAACACACCCAAGAACACAGCACCCTGGGGGCAAGGCACATCTGGACTCCAGTTACTTAGCAGTTAGTTACTGCCTCCAGAAAGGAATGGGGTCATCAGCAGCCTCCTCAGTCAGTCATCAATGTTTACTGAGCGCTGAGTGTGAAGCACCACGCGGAGTGCCATGGCCATACGCAGAAGCTCACAATCTAGCTGGGGAGAACAGGAGCAAAGATAAAGCTCAAAGGCCAGCGCCTCAGCCAGTCTTGTTTAGGGGAGAGGAAGGGAGATATCTGGCAATTGGGACCAGAAGGGAATCTCAGAAGGTCTAAATCTTGACTGAAGGGAGGATTTTCATGGACCAAAAGGTTGGGGTGGAAGCAGAAGTCAAGGTCCAGGTGGCCTGAGCAAGCCATTCATCTGGTGCGTGCAGGAGAGACCGAGAGGAAGGCTGGGCCTGGGGTGTGCAGCTCCGAGGAACTGGGTCATTGAACTCGTGTGAAATGCCACTGCAGACCACAAGGAGTTTTTCTCTGCAACGTGGGAGGCCGTGAGTCCAGGCCTCTAACTTTCCACTGAGGCCCAGGGTGAGAGGTCCAGCTCCTCCACAGCAGAGCAGTTCACAAAGCCTTGGGGGTAGTGGTTGACCTGGAACGGGTTCAGTGGGACCTTGGTGATGCGGGTGTTGTCACAGACAAGGCGTGAGAAGGACATTTTCCTCAGAGAGTCCTGCTGCTTCTCCGTGAAGACTCCTGGGTTTTCCCACCAGAATCTGCACAGACAGGAGCAGGGTCTCATTACATGGTCCAGCTGCTGGCCCCTCCCCATGCTGGCAAAGGAGGTCACCAGGAACTTGAAAAGCTGCCCCCATGCTGAGAACTTAGTCCTCATGCAGGACACTGGGACAATCTCCTAGGGGAAGGGTTCCCCGGTGTCTCCTGGGGTAGGGGTTTCACTTGCCTGTCTCCATCGCGGATCCGCTGGAACTGGTGGCCCAGGAGGCAGGCCAGGAGAGGCCCCACCCGGCCCCTTTCCACCAGGGGCTCAGCAACGGTGCCCACCCAGATGTCAATGTTGTCAGGGGTCCCGTAGAGATCTAGTAACTTCTTGGCGAGCATCTCGTTCTTCAGCACAGCACTCAGATCTTCTAGGGTCTGAGGCTGCGAGAGGCCACAAAAGCCTCTCCAGGAGTTGTACCCTAGGGTGAGAAGCCCAGGCTAGCTCATGGCAGGGATTTCCTGCTTCTGGCTCCCTTTGGGGACCTACCCCTTCCAGCTGCATTAGCCCCAGAAAAATTCAGCCTCTGAAGTAGCAGAGGTACTGACCATTGTTTATATCTGTGGCACTTCTGTCTTGGCAGGGTGGTGTGGGGCTGGTGGCTTTCTGGGTACTTACCACAGGTCCAGGCACTGCTTTAAGCACTGGAGCAGGAATGTTAAGTGACTTGCCCTCAGTCCCGTAACTAGTAAATGGCACAGCTGGGATTTGAACTCAGGCAGTATGACTTCTGAATGAAATTAAATTGCCTTTCATGGGTACAAAAGAAAGTACCAACAATCTTTGGCTTTTCTCTGTTCTTTTCTCAATCTTTTCTGGTCTTTTGGCTGGTTTTAGAAGTTTGTTGGTCCCTTTCTCATCTAAGGAACTCCAAGACAGTACCAGACATGTGCTCATTTCTCTGTATGAGGGAGAGTGAAAGATTCCATACCATGGCTGAGGAAAGTAGTTTTTTTTAAGCCAGTCAGCCTTCTGCTCAGAATTGATGGGAGCCTGTAGGTTTCTGGGGAGAGGCTCCAGGAGCCCCAGAAGGCAGCTAAGAGATCTCCAGGCCAGCCCTGACCCCAGGCCCACTCACCAGGCTGCCCGTGGTCCCGGCCTCGCTGTATGTTGATGGAAGCCAGGTCAAAGCCATGGATGGTGTGAGTTGGCTGGAAGAGCTTGTTGCGCAGCTCTCCTGTCATCATTTTATTCTGATTCATGAACTTGGCCTTCTTGGCTAACAGGCCCCGCACCAGAGGGTCTATTCCACCTGCAGAGGGAGACCCAGAGTCCATCCGTGGGATGGGAGTAAGGCGTGGACACCTTCCGTGGTTAAAGAAGCACCTGCTGGACATATGTAGGGGAAAGGGAGTCTGAGCCACATGATTCTGGGGTGGCAGGAAGGGGTGTTCATGGGAAGATGGCTTGAATATGATGGTATTCAAGTTCCAGGTCGTGGAGTCAGCTCTTTTTCCTCCCATTCATCCTCCTGGGAGCATTTTAGCACAGGAAGAGGCAGCAGGAACCATTAGGAAGTGGCCCTGACTTGTTAGGCCTTAATGAAAGCCATAGCCCAGGACAAAAGAGGGCTGTTTCCAACCTTTGACATTTCATGGAGGTAGACAGCTCTGGAGGAGAGCAGGAAAAAGCTGCTTATTTACATTCTTTCTTCAGAGGTCAGAAAAGCCAAGGGGAGGGAGTGGAGGCAGAGAAATCCTAGACAGCTCAGAAGCAGGAAGGAGGAAAGAAATAGTAATGACTAATATTTCTCAATCATTTCCTGTGTATTAGGAATCCTTATAGGTTGTTCTACTTGTCTACCTCAGTTAATTTTTTTCAATATCTTCATGAATTGAGTACTATTACTGCTCCCATTCTTACAGAGGTGGACACTGAGGCTCAGTGAGGTGAATTCATTCGCCCAAGGTCACATGGGAGGTGCTTGGAGTCTGACTCCTCGGCCAGGTTTCCCTACCAGGAGGTTGCAGAGTGGGAGAGCCAGGAGGGCACTTTCCCAGAAGGCCATACCGTCTTGGACCATCCTCCAGGTGTTGAAGAAGAGGGAGTGCAGGGGCAGCTCTGGTTCTGGACCCCATGGCTGATAATTCTCATCAAGGCGAAATATAGTAGAAGGGACTTCCAAGTGGCCAAAGCGGAAAGCAAAAGTAAAGACATTGGAAATTCGGGGGTCTACAGATTCGTTGTAGCCTTGGTATGGGGGGATCCACTTCTGCATCTCGCCACCTAGCACGATGGGCAAGTAGTCCCTGAAGGTGATGATCTGAAGGGAGAAATAAGTCATGAGGAAAGGGCATGGGGAGGGTTTTACCCTTTGTAGAGGGAGGCTCTAGAGAAACTGCTCCCAACTGGGATGAGCAGTCAAAAATCCAGGACAGCATTGAAGCCCTTGTCCCATAATCCAGGCTGGAGTTAATCCAGTCAGCCTGTGGGAGCGGCAGCAATGGAGCCCTGTGTCTCTTTGCTCTTTAGCCTTGGCTCTTCACCAAGGAGACCCAGGTACAATGGTTTCTGGGTCTCTAGATGGTTGCCTAGCAACAGCAGGCAGCCAGGAAAGAAGCTTCTTGCCCTTTAGACAGTACCAGCAGGGAAGGAGTGGGAAGCTCAGAACACAAGAGGGATGAAGTGGACCAGAAAAGCATTAGGAGGGCTCAGGAGAGCAGGTGGCCACTGGAACGAAACCCCATAAAAGTAGACCAGAAGCTACATGCTAAACCTGAACAGGTGATGATATGCTAAAATAGATTTATTTGCTTTTAAATAAAAGATTTAAATAGGATAAAGCATATCCTAATATAATAACCAATATGCCTAAGATACAATTGAAATTCACCTCTAATATCAAGAACCAGGAAAATCCCATGTGGAGTGAGAAAAGACAATTAATTGATGCCAATTCTGATGTGAATCAGATACTGGCATTGTCTGATAAAGGTTTTAAAGCAGCCACCTTAAAAATGCCTCAATTGCCGGGCATGGTGGCGCACACCTGTAATCCCAGAACTCACGAGGCTGAGGCAGGAGAATCGCTGTGAGTTCGAGACCAACCTGGGCTACATAGTGGGTTCCAGGTCAGTCTCAACTACATAGTGAGACTCTGTCTCAAAAAACAAAAAACAAACAAACAAACAAAAAAAACCCAAAACCATAATATCTCAGTAAAGAAGTAGAAGTTACTAAAAAATGAAATCATTGAACTGAAAATATAATACCTGAAGTTAAAGACAAATTTGGAGAACCCTCATGATGAAGTGGTAATGATAGAAGGTAGGCCTGAAAACAGAGCAACAAAATCCACTCAGTCTGCAGAACAGAGAGAAGATAGACTTAAAAAAAAAAAACTTCAGTTAGCTGTGGTGGTACACACCTCTCATCCCAGAAGGCTGGGAAGCTGAGGCAGGAGGCTCACAAGTTCAAGCCCACTCTGGGCAACTTAGTGAATTAGCAAAACCTTGTCTCAAAATAAAAATAAATAAAGGACTGCGGGTGTGGCTTAGTAAGAAGACCCTGGAGGAATCAATTCCCAGTACTGTAACAAGCAAACAAACAAAAGGAAATAAAACTAAAACACCACCAGAGCCTCAGGGTTCTGGGAACAATAATAAAATGATCTAACATTCATATCACTGGAGTCCCAGAGATAAAGAGGAAAGAGGGTGAAACTGAAAAAATTATTTCTGAAATAATGCCTAAAAATTTCCTCAAATTGGTGAAAGACATACATTTACAGATACAAGAAGCTGGATGTACTCTATACCAGATCAACCCAAAGAAGTTCACTCCAAAGCACATTATAATTAAATATCTGGAAACTAAACACAAAAAGTTTTAAGAGCAATCAAAAAGACAAAGGACTAAAATCTAGACTATATAAAGAACTAAAAAAATAGACGAAATAATTAGGCCTCTGGAATAAACAGACGTTTCTCAGATGAAGAAGTACAAATGGCCAATAAGTACATGCAAAAAATGTTCACCATCTCTTGCCATTTGAGAAATACAAATTAAAGCAACACAGATATTCTGTCTCACTATCGCACTCCAAGAAGAATGTCTGTCTTTAAGAGGTCAAATAACAAATGCTGAGGAGGCTGTGGGGTGGGGTAGGAGAAGGAACCCTTCTTCCAAACTGGAAACTCTCCAATGTCCTCCAGTAGCTGAATGGTTATACCACAGAATGCTAGTTGAGTTGGATGAATCTCACAGGTATCATGCTTAATGCAAAAATCCCCTCGCCAAAGGAAATATACTGCATAATTTCATTAAACAACATTTGTGAACTAGTATAATGATAGAGATAGAGAACAGTTAGCATTTTCTAGGAGTCAGGGCTATGTAGGTGGGGGTAGTTGTGGCCGTAAAGAGGTAGCATGGGAGTCTTGTTCGTGCAGCTAAGTCATTTTTTATGGTGTTTACATAAAGCTACACCTCTGATAAAACTGCATAAAACTGCAGTCATGCGCACATGTCCCACACGCATTTATAGCTGGCGAAATCTGAACTCACTCCTTGGTTTGCATCAGTGTTAACACTCTGGTCAGCACTGGTTTTGCTTCCTAATTTTGTTGTTATAGCACAGTTATGCCAGACGTTAGCATCAGTGGAGGCTGGATAAAGGGCACACAGATCCCCCTGCACGTTGTTTTTGCAACTTCTTGAGAAGCTGGAGTTTTTTTAAAATAGAATGTTTTAAAAAGTACATGTAGGGTTAACATCTACCTACCAACCTTGCCAAGTCTCTTCAGGTTAGTAAGCCAATCTACAACACCCACTGAGTACATCCATTCCCATTTCATGTGGCTTAAGTGTGGAGAATGTAAAAGGAAGAGAATGAGATCAGAATAGCCCAAGTCACCGCTGGGTAGCAGTCACAGAGGTGATAAAGCCTAGCGTCCACATCAGGGCACCAGGGCAGGTTACACTGAAGGGACCAACACTGTGAACCCAAGGATTTGCTTTGGGACAGAGAAGCCAAAGACATGAAAGAAGAGAGGGTATAAAAGACTGAGATAATGGAAGGGGAAGGGGTAGAAGTGTGAGAAACAGAAGAGGTGGCTGGAGTGGACAGAGCTGGAGCAGGACCAGGCGGCCATGGCGGGCGCTGGTGTCTCTGTACCTGCATGAAGGCACCGAGGATTTTCCGGGCTTCCTGAAAGAGCCTCTCTCCATCCCACTGAGGGTTGAGTCTCTTCAGTGCTTGGGCCAACCGGTTGTGCTCCCGAAGAAGGAGCGTGTGGGAAGTGGCCAACAGGATCTGTTCAGAGGCCCGGGAATCTCCTGCAAGGCCAGAAGGCAGGAAGGTGAGTTCTACCTGAGCAGCCCCAGGACCCAGGGACCTACACAGAGGGATGATGGTGCCCCAGAGGTCCCTCTCCCAAGACCCTCCTTCCTGGCAACTTATGGGAAGTCAGGTGGAGAGGGATGGAGGTGGCAATTACAGATTTGCACCTCAGCTCTGAATATGTACATTTTAGCTGTGTAACCTTCAGTGGGTTACTTAACATTTTCTGAGCCTCCGCCTCCTTATCTGGGAGAATGGTGATTAAAATTCGCAATTGTGGGGAAGGCTACAGGTGGCAGACTAAGATATAAAGTTTTGCTCATTATAACCCAATTACCTTGTAAGAAGGCAATTCATACAAACAAGAGGGCACCTTCACTTGCCAGGCACCTTTGAAGGCTTTAAGGAATGAATTCCTCTGGGTAATAAAGGGAGAAGAATCTGGAGATGAGGCCTTTGGGGGAAGAATGGAGGAGCAAGGGGGTGAACAATTAAGTGGTGAAGACCGGATGTCTCACAAGGGCACATTTTCCTGTGCTCTCCAGGGTTCAAGAAGCCCTATTAAACCCACAAAGGCTTGGGGTATGTGTGGACATAAAATTTAAGAAATCTACCAGACAGCTTGGCCTACGGAATGGCCTGTGGTCTCATCAGGCGGTGGTCAGGAGACAGAGGGTACCAGGAGGGTTGTTATGGAGTGTGCCCAGGTTACAAAAAAAGTCTTAATATCTGTATCCATTCCTCTTAATCTAACAGGTGGGTCCAACCCATAGCTCCCGGGCCACTTGACTTTCTTTACTATAAAAAGAATACCTTAAAAAAGGAAGTTTTGTTACTTGTATATGTTAAACTACATTAGATATTTTACATGTAGCCTGAGATGATTCCTTTTCATTTGACCTGGCCCAGGCAGCCCAGCTGTGTCCAGCTTGTGGGCTGCAGGTTAGACACTCCTGTAAGAATACTTAATGCCGTGGGATATGGTTAAGTGAACACATCAGGTTACAGAGCCTTATTTATAGCGTGGCCCCAATTACGTAAAGCTATACCCGTGACAGAAGAAATCCTGCAAAGATTGGCAACACAATGTTAATAATGACCGCTGGTTGTGTGGTGGGTTTATGTGAATTTTCTTTGTGCTTTGCAGAACTTCCTTATTTGTTTTACATTTACAGTGAACACATGTTTTCAGGTTATTTTTCATCTGGGCCCTTCTGCCAGTCCTGGACTGGCAGACGGTGGTGGCTTGGTTCATTTCCAGAAAAATAAGGAGAAGGGGGCAGCAGCAGAGCCTTTCTGGGTAATGCCCTGTTCTCTCCCAGGCCTACACTCACCAGCCAGGAAGCAGGGCACACCGGCCGTGGTGTTGATGAACTCACAGGGGCTTGGCCGCGTGGTGACAAAGGGCAGGTAAGGCAGCCCATCATCTGAGACCTCCTGGTTGACGGCCATGAGACCCAAGGGGCTACTGAGGTTGCGCAGGCGGCTGGCCAGGCTTTGCTCGGGGCCGTACACCAAGCTGGCATCCAGGAAGGAGGTCAGGGCATTGATTTGCTGTCGGGCCACAGAATGGTAGGGTGGAGTGGGGCAAACAAACCCTGCTCGGAAGAAAGGCATGCACTTTCCTTGAGTCTTCACCTTGGGGTCAGCGGGTGGGAACTGCAGAGAGATTAGGGGTGGGTGGCTAGGCAGAGGTGGCACAGCTGGGCCCCACATCCCCCCCCCCC